GAATGTGTTGAAGCTCATACTGCGTAAGACTGGGATGTGGCATGTCTAGTGCATTTACAGGTGGCAGGGCTGGGGTTTATTTAAGACGTAGCTGATAGAGGTATTTTGTTTTCACAAAGCGCAGTGGGAGGTAGGGCCAGTGCTTCTGAGTTCATGAGCTGAATCCTTTTGTCTTCTGGGGTACCTGTGTGTGAGACTGTGCATTTCAGAAGAGAAAGAAAGAATATAAAGGATGAGTAGAGCAGAGAGACAGAACTTCTGTGAAATGAAGCCAGGCAATGGTGGTTTGGGGGATTTTTTATGAGACTGCGCACAACATGGAGCAAGCAGGGCTGGGTGGGAGTGGGTGGCTCTAATCTCTGTCTTTCCACAGCTCCCATGTTGGATGAGTCGGTGATTATCCAGCTAGTGGAGATGGGCTTTCCCATGGATGCCTGCCGCAAAGCTGTGTATTACACAGGGAACAGTGGGGTTGAGGCTGCCATGAACTGGGTCATGTCACATATGGATGATCCAGGTATGAGATCACATGGCCATGACCAAGCTTATTACATCTAGGTTATTGTACTGCCTTGTCCCACTACAGTAGTGGAAAATTAAAGTACTTTGGACCTCAGGCTATATCCCCATCAGAGAGATCTAACTGCTCTGAGCTGTGTTCTGTTTCCCACTGCAGACTTTGCTAACCCTCTAGTTCTCCCTGGATCCAGTGGACCAGGGTCAACTATTGCCTGCCCAGATCCTCCTTCAGAAGACAGTGTGGCCACTATTGTCTCCATGGGCTTCTCCCGGGACCAGGCTATGAAAGCTCTTAGAGCCACGGTGAGAGGCCTTGGTGACATCAAACTGAAATGGTATTATCGGGAACAGGAATTCCCAAATTCACAGTATTCTGCTCTTCTTTCCAGAACAACAGTCTGGAGCGTGCTGTGGATTGGATCTTTAGTCATATTGATGACCTTGATGCAGAAGCTGCTATGGATATCTCAGAGGGGCGCTCGGCAGCTGAGTCCATCTCTGAATCTGTCCCTGTGGGTCCTAAAGTGCGCGATGGGCCTGGAAGTGAGTTCCAAGCAGTAGGAACGTGGATTTTGGGGTGCAAACGCAGCCTGGCTTTACCCTTCCTAATCCATCCAGTCCTGTAGCTTCTAGCAGCAGGTTCCACAAAGTTGATTTGGTTGCTGAAATGGTGGGAGCAGGGAGGAAAAGGAGAGGGATGGCACTGTACGGCCTAGACCCTTCAGGCTGAGAGTTATCTGGAAGACAATGAGCTCTCCTGAGAGACAGAGGAAGTGTTGTCAAGTTGAAGATGGGGAGGACTGTGCTGCTTTCTCCCAACCAGTTCTGGAGGCTTTTCTGTTCTTCAGGCTCCCATTGAAAACCTAAATTTCAGTCTGTTTGGAAAATTGATGCCAATGCTGCTTGTCTGGTAGGTGCCTTGAAGAAAGGGATCCCTGATTAACCATCCAGCGTGCATGAGCCAGATAAGCAGTTAGAAGAGGTGAGGTTGGACAGGAGTTGCCATCTCCTATTCCCTGCAGTCCTTGAGACCAAATCCTCACAGTCAAACTTGACAGGAGCCTACTTCTAAATTGTCACAGAGCAGACTTTCCTTCAGGTCTCACACATCAGAAATTCTTCTCTGGAAAGGGCCTTACATAGGGTGTTTCAGGTATGAAGCCTTCCCTCTTTCC